AGCTGCTCTTTCAAGACCTGAAGGGTCTAGGCCCGAAACGTCAGCCTCTCTGCTCCTATGATGCTGCTTGGCCTGCTGTGTTCATCCAGCCCTGCACCTTGTTGTCTCGGATTCTCCAGCATCTGCAGTTCCTACTATCTCTGATTAGACCTTATTCACAGTTTTGGGACCACACGACGGGTCATTGTCCAATCCAGCTTCACACACACATCGTGTCATTGTGCCTAAGTGAGTAATACAACAGCTTGGATCTGTCAAACTGATGCCGGAGATGAGAATCTGTCGTCGTTCAGAGACTTGAGTGACTGGGAATACTCCTCCTGTGGGAGTGAAGGCTGCGAGGTTGTACCATAGAGAGATCCGGGAGAGACTGATTGAGGAAGTACCATCAATGAAAATAGTTCTCAGAGTGACAGAGTTTAGGATAAATGTCTTTATACACAGGGACAGAGGAACCTGGGAAGTCAGGCCAAGGAGGAGCAGTTGAGACTGACAGCATGGAAGATTTTAAGGGAAAATTGATGAAATATTTGAAACTGGCAAAGTTGGAAGATCTCGGGGAGAGAGTCATCCGTTGGAAGAGCATTGGATCGCAGTTTACCATTGGTTGATATGAATACAATGTGGCAAATGGCTTCTGTAGAATCACAGAATGGCCACAGAACAGGAGGAGGCCATTCACCCCATTGTGTCTATGCTGGTTCTCTGAAGGAGCAAGTCATCTCGTGCCACTGCCCTCCCTACTCCCTCTAGATGTGAAAGAATTTCCTTCTCAGATAATGGTCCAATTTCTTCATGAAAGATGCAAAGGAACCTGCCTGCCCCACACTTTCAGACAGTACATTCCAGACCCTGAACCACTTGCTCCTGCCCCCATCGCTTTCTTTGTTAATCACCTTCAATCTGTGGCTTCGTGTTCTCAATCCCTCCTAACTTGTTTTGGATTTAATTTTATTCCAATTGTTGATTGCCCATTTTGAAAATCAAATTTCCTGAGATCAGATAGCAATGTAATAAGGCGCAGTGTCCCCTCATTCCCTGTCCAACCTCATTACTGCTACAAGTTGAACCAAAGAGTCTGTCTCCTTGCTGTATGACTCTATGATAAAAATTCTATTGGCTGATTTTTGTGATCACAGTTGATTAAGTCATGAAGAGCAGCTTTTTAATTGAAAGGATCCAGTTGGGTTGTTACGGTGAGGAGACTGCTTTTCAGTAGCAAGCAAGACCTGAATCCACCTCAGCCCCCTCAGTCCAATCACCCAGCAGGTAGATTCCCACCAGATCCCAGAGAGCAGTTCTGATATTCTAACCAGATCCCGTTCTATCCGTCAGGTTATGGTGTGGATCCATGGTGGTGGATACGTAATAGGAAGTGCATCTCTCTATGACGGAACATCACTTGCAGCTTATGAGGATGTGGTGGTGGTGGCGATCCAGTATCGGCTGGGAATTCTTGGGTTCCTCAGGTAAATGCAAAGAGACAGTCAGGAAGGTTGGCAGCAGCTGAGAGGCCTTTTTGGTTCATTGTGTCTGAACCAAAGCCATCCGGCCTAATCCACACTCTCTCATTGTGTGGTTTGGAGGCACATTGAATTATGGGTTTCAGACAGATTGTTCAAGGAGAAGTCAAGTCAAGACAGTGTAGTGGTTGTTTTTCCAGGCTCAGTGATAGAACATAGAACAGTACAGCACAGTACAGGGCCTTCGGCCCACGATGTTGTGCCGACCTATTATCCAACTAAGATCAAACTAACCTACATACCCTACATTATACTATCATCTATGTGTCTATCCAAGAGTCGCTTAAATGTCTCTAAAGTATCTGACCCCACTACCACTGCCGGCAGCGCATTCCACACGCCCACCACTCTCTGTGTAAAGAACCTACCTCAGACATCTCCCCTATACCTTCCTCCAATCACCTTAAAATTATGCCCCCTCATAATAGTCATTTCCACCCTGGGAAAAAGTCTCTGACTATCCACTCTATCTAGGCCTCTCATCACCTTGTACACCTCTATCAAGTCGCCTCTCATCCTTCTTCACTCCAATGAGAAAAGACCTAGTTCCTCAACCTTTCCTCATAAGACCTGTCCTCCAGTCCAGGCAGCATCCTGGTAAATCTCCTCTGCACCCTCTCTAAAGCTTCCATATCTTTCCTATAATGAGGTGACCAGAACTGAACACAATATTCCAAGTGTGGTCTAACCAGGGTTTTATAGAGCTGCAGCATAACCTCAACGGCTCTTAAAACTCAAGTCCCTGCCAATGAAACCCAAGACACCATACGGCTTCTTTACAACCCTATCAACTTGGGTGATCTTGATGGTGGTTGCGGGGGGGAGGGTTAGACATGAGAATTTCGGACTGAAGTGGAGTGAAATATTGCAAAACTTTAGCAATTTTCTAGCCGTGGGAAATGTGGGTTTACAGGAATAGGGAAGGAGCTGAGTTTGGGTGGGATGTTGTTTGGAGCGTCGGTGTAGACCTGATGGGCCAAACAGCCTCTTTCCACACTGTCGGAGATTCTGTGACTTCCCAATCTCTGTAATCCCATCCACTCCCATAACGCTCTGAGATCTGCGTTCCTGTAACTCTGGCCTTTTGTGTGTTCCTGATTTTCATGTTGGCCGTGTCTTCAGTTGCCTGGGCCCTAAGTTCGGGAGTTCTGAGATTCCCCCCTTGCAATTTCTTCAACTCCCTCTCCATTAAGATGCTCAGTAAAATCGATCTCATTGACTGAAGTTTGACTCAGTATCAAATGTTGTTTGATGAAGCTCCGGTGAAGTGGCTTGGGATGATTTGCTATGTTGTTGATGCTTTATAAATGCAGGTTGTTGTTGTTGTTGTTGTTGCTGTTGCTGTTACAAGTGTCACACACAACAATTTCTGCCTGATGTTCTATCTTCAGCACAGGGGATGAGTATCTGCCGGGAAACTGGGGCATGTTGGATCAAGTTGCAGCGTTGAAGTGGGTTCAGGAAAACATTGAGAACTTCGGAGGTGACCCAGGCCTGGTGACCATATTTGGAGAATCTGCCGGTGGAATCAGTGTTTCATTCCATGTATGTGGTTGGTCTTTATTCTCACTCTTTCAGTCTGAAATGTTGGTTAATATTTCCACAGTCTGATGTTATGTGTTTTGCCCGTTGCTCGCGGTTAAGCTAAAGAGCCTGTGAAGCCAGTTTGTCCCAACATGAGATGTTTACCTTCATCCTCGCAGGAGAATGACCTTTTTCTCACTGTGACAGGAACAGGCCATTCAGCCTAACTGTTCCTGATAGCCATGCTTCACCCTCTCCAGGCTATTTGGGGGTCTAGAGTTTCAGATTTCCACCAGCCTTGAAGAAACTGAGAAGCAGGAGAAAGAGGAGGCAGTCATTCAGGTCCTTGAGCCTGCTACACACTTCCTTAAGATCATCTGCAACAACTTCCCTTCGCAATCGTTCAATTCCTTGATTCCCTTAATGGCCAAAATTCTATTGTTCAGTTTTGAATAAATTTATTGACTAATTGTTAACTGCTTTCTAGTATCAGGAATTCTAAAGATTCACCACATTCTGAGTGAAGAACATTCTCCTCATTGTTACAACCCACTCTGGAGAGCATGCTGATTCTCAAGCCTTACTTCTCACAGGGTCACCACAAGAGTTAGTGATTTAATCAAAGTTTGGAAACTCCCCAAGTTACCTGTCTTAAGTTATCAGATTAACAGAACTCACTCACAAGGGTCCCATATTTAACTAGGCTCAAAATGGAAGCTTTCATCCTGCACTCATCAGAAACAGATTTCAAAACAGACTCTGTTCTCTACAGCTTGAGAAGAGGATGCTGATTGGTTGGGTCATCATTTATTGGGGATGCAGCAGTTAACTGTCAGTCTAATTCCCAGAGCAGACAGATTGATTCTGATTGGTCAGGACACTGCCATGGACATGCAGCAGAGTTTAGTTGTCTCCATGATGGAAAAGGTACAATGTCTGTACAAATTTTTTTAGTCCCCATTAAACAAGGTCCTGAATATGTGTGCATGTAGCTTCTTTCATGCACAAATGTATCACAGTGCGAGTATGGCCAATGATCTTAAATCAGATTCTGGTGTAACTGTCAGCGCACTTCGGGTTATTTAATAAATGCTGTCCAGTGGCAGAATCACATCTAAAGCAGGGGCTGGTTGAGCATGAGTGGCCAGCTATGAAATGTCTTATCTCACAGGATAGCTGTGATATGCCCTATCATTGCTCACTCTTACATTCCAATCTGTTGCGATGAAGTTTAACATTCTTTTAGCCTCCTTTTCTCACTATCCTGGGGAGCTGAATCTCTATCCGACACCAGGTAGGATGGTCTGTGCTCCAGCTGAGATGTCCAATACCCCCTTGGTCCTGTATCAGACTGGCTCCAATGAACAGCTTGGGAAGAGGGGCCTTTAGAAAGGGTCTAAGCTAATGGCTGCTCTCTCTCTTGTTTTCCAGCTTGTTTCTCCTTTGTCCTCTGGTCTGTTTCACAGGGCAATATCAGAAAGCGGTACTGCTTTGATCAAGTTTGGACCTCATCAAGATCCAAAATTAACAGCTCTGGTATGATATTCTTTTTCAAAATCAAAGGTTTTTTTTCCCTTGTTTCACAGTGAGAAATTTTCACTTGATACAAACCAAAACAAAGGAGGAAAATGACTTTCCAACGACAGGATCTTGTTTTGGAATGTGTGGGCGGTTTGTTCAGATCTGTAGCCCCCTTTACATTGTTACATGTGGCCAGTCACACACAGTGATTAGGGGGAGAGATCTGAGCACAGCCTGCAACAGATCTGGATTAGATCCCAAGCATCAGCTGTCTGCAAATTCACTGTGTAACAGATCCTGATGATTCAAGACTTTTCAGATTCACGATGTACAGGATCCCAAGAATACATTCCTCAGGCTGTAGTAGATCACTGAAATCCATGCTCCGTGGATTCACACTATACCACATCCATACAATCCACTTGGAGGTTTATGCTGTAACATGCCCCTGGAATCCACTGTGCAGCAAATGTGGGAGAGAAATTTCCTGAGATTGGAAGAGTTGGTCCTTGCAGAATCTTTGACTTGCACTGAGCTGTGTTTTGAACTGAGGGCCCCTCGAGCTGGGGGGACACCTACAGGGGGCAGGATTCTGGCAATAGGCTCACCATTGCACAGGCCAGAGTTAGAACATAGAGGGACCCCTTTCAGCCAGCTGTACATTTACCTGCTTTACCTGCAAGGACATCTACAAAGTCCCACTCACCCGTCCTTTCTTCATCGTCCTGCAAATCTTTGATCTTCAGATAATTATTCAGTTTCCTTCTGAAAACCACGATTGATTCAGCCTCTGTCGGTGTGACCAGTTACTCCAGTGCTGAGCTTTACACAACTGAGACCTCGTCTCCATCCCGGGGAATCCCAGCCCTCACAGATCCAGCTCAGAATCCAGTAGCACTGGCCTCCAATCTGGGGAATTGAAGTTGATTGTCATAGAGTGGTCTCTTGATGAAATCCAGTAACTGTTGGTCTCAATTGAAACTCTGTACAGATTATCGCCAACGTCAGCGGCTGTGACACTGATGACTCCCGGGAAATTGTTGATTGTCTAAAGAAACTGTCTGAAGAGGAATTGTCGAACATTGCAAAACCTCCCCAAGTATGGTGCAAATTCATCCTTCTTTCCTTCCCGTTTCACTTCTGTATCTCAGTGGCGGCATGGTGGCTCAGTGGTTAGCTCTGCTGCCTCACAGCACCAGGGACCTGGTTTCGATTCCACCCTCGGGCAACTGTCTGTGTGGGGTTTGCACGTTCTCCCTGTGTCTGCGTTGATTTCCTCCCACAGTCCAAAGATGTGCAGGCTAGGTGGATTGGCAGTGCTAAATTGCCTGAAGTGTTCAGGGATGTGTAGATTACATAGGTTATAGGGGAATGGGTCTGGGTGGGATGCTGTGAGGGTTGGTGTGGACTTTTTGGGCTGAAGGGTCTGTTTCCACACTGTAGGGATTCTATGATCTATGTACAGACCCATTCCCCCCATTTTTCTCAATCTCAATTTTCGGCCGTGATGGCCTGATGGTATTCTCACTAGGCTATTAATCTGGAAACACAGGTAAGGTTCTGGGAACCTGGCTTTCACTTCCACCATGACGGAATATGAATTCAACTTAAAAAAATTTCTCTAATTAAGAGTCTAATGTTACTTGTTGGGAGCGAGCCTTTAGGGAAGCAAATGTGCCATCCTTCCGCGGTCTGACCTACATGTGATCCCAGACCTGCTGCAAAGCGATTGATGGTCAAACGCTGATTGCGCCAGCGCTGTCTACATCCTGTGAATGATTAAAAAAAGTCGTTAAATTCGAGACCAAACATACTATCACATCCTAAATGTGCAGGGCTTATTCAATGGTGCCCTGTAGATAGTTACAGTTATCTGATTGTTTATACCAAGTCAGGATCTAGCCAGCTCACTCTCACCACCTGCTAAACGATGGAAATCTTTGCCTTCCTCCCTCTTCCTCCTACAACCAAACTTCCTGTTGCCCCACTGCTACTTTTCTTGTCTCCTCTCCTACTCTGTGTGTCTCTGGAGGCATCCTGCATTGTCAGCATTAGTGCTTTTCTTCACTTCTCCTGTCATTAAAAACTCTTCTCGGTATGGAAAAAGGGTCAGGCTGGCTGAATCGTGGATCCTAAACAACACAGCAGGAAGGTCCTGGCCTCTGGATTATTTGTTTTGTTGGAGTCAGTGACCTCCTCAGTTTGCCTTCAGTCTGCTCCCCCCTCCCGTTGAGAATATTTGCTGGAGCTGATTGGAAGTGAGGGAGCAGGGAAAATCTAGGACCTCATTAAGTGCTGATGTGAAAATGTAGAAACAAAGTCAGCATGCAGGTACAGCAAGCATTTGACGAAAGAAATAGCATGTATCGTCTAGTGTTCATCTGTCAAAGCTCCTCTTAATAAGATCACTGCTCTTGCCTCAAATGTTCATGCTGAACACCAATTGGCCAAGCACCAGAAACAGCTCAGTATGTGCACTTAGCTCGTGCTGACACAGTGTGTGTGTGTGACCAGCAGCAGGCTCCAGTGCTGCTTTGTGTTTTGATCAGCTTTACATTCCAGTTTACCCCCTCCCTCCAGCAACTGCAGCTCTCACTGTGAGCTGCACCTCTCTCTGGTTGTTGCAAACTGTGGTCTAGCTGACAGCGGTGACAATCAGTTATTTCAGGCTTTACATAAAATCATGGAAAATAGGCAGAGGCATAAGCGATTTGGCCCATCGAGCCTGCACCACCCTTCATTATGCTCATGGCTGATCATCCAACTTAGTGCCCTGTTCCCACTTTCTCCCCATACCCTTTGATCCCTTTTGCCCTATGAATGAAATCTAACTCCTTCTTAAAAGACATTTAATATTTTTGCCTCAACCACTCCATAGGCTCTCCAGTCTCTGCGTGAAGACATTTCTCCTCATCTCAGTCCAAAGTAGCCTGCCCTGTAACGTTAGTCTGTGACCCATAGTTCTGGACTGTCCATCATTAGAAATATCTTTCTTGCATTTACCCTGTCTAGTTGTATGAAAATTTTGAGGGTTTCTGTCAGCTCGCCTCTCATTCTCCTGAACCCCAGTGAATATAGTCCTAAATGATCCAATCTCTCTTCAGTCCTGCCATCCCAGGAATTGATGCAGAGTAGATAGGGAGAAACCATTCCCTTTAGTAGAGAGGTCAATAATCTGGGTCACAGTTTTAATGAACAGTAAGTTTAGAGGGGATTTGAGGAAAAGAATTTTCACCCAGAGGGTTGTGGGTATCTGGAACTCACTGTCTAAAAGGGTGGTAGAGGCAGGAACTGCCAAGACACTTAAGAATTATTGAGATGAGCATTTGAAACTCTACAGTATACAAGACTACACGTCAAGTGCTGGAAAATGGGCATGGAATAGATGAAGAAGGATCCTGACCTGAAACGTCAACTTTCCTGCTCCTCTGATGCTGCCTGGCCTGCTGCATTCCTCCAGCTCAACACTGTGTTGACTGTGACTCCAGCATCTGCAGTTCTTGCTATCTCTTAGAATAAATGGGTGCTGGATGACCAGTGAAACATAATGGGCCGAAGGGCCTCTTTCCATGCTGTGCAGACTCCATCACTCAATAACCCTCTGTATGATACTATTACTCTCTTAAAGACACACATAAAATAGGGCGCAGCTCCAATAAGACCAGTATCCAGGGCAAAAGCAGCACATTTGATTGGCCATCAATCCACTACTTCAATATTCACTCCTTCCACCACTGACAGCAGTGTGTACCATCTACAAGACGCAATGCAGTAACTCACTAAGGCTCCTTTGACAGCACCTTCCAGATCTCAACCTCCACTATCTAGAAAGACAAGAGTAGCAGATCCCTCTCCAATGGCATTGTGGGCCGACCTACAGCACATGGCCTGCATTAGTTCAAATTGGTGACCTTCTCAAGGGCAATTAGGGATAGGTGATAAATACTGACCCTGCCATTGATGACACATCCCATACAAGAATGAAAATAAATCAATTTCCTGATCTACAGAACATTATATCATTGACAGCCACCCCTTTCACTTGCCTTGAAGATTCTCTGCTGTGATTAATGTGACTCTGACCATTTGGGGGATCCTCTGAGTATTTGCAGTGTTACAGTATGTGCGGTGTTGGTGATATCTCCAGTTAAATATCATCTTTTCTTTCCTAATGAGGCAATTCTCTCTGTCGTGGTGGATGGTGTCTTCTTGCACAGAGAGGTAGAACAACTGCTTGAGGCAAAAGAGGTCAGCTCGGTTCCATACCTGTTGGGAGTCAACAATCAAGAATTTGGTTGGCTAGGAGCAAAGGTGAGATTAATTTCAGCCTTTGATTGGGTCTGAGTTGATGGCTGTCGAGCTCAGACTGTCCTGGGAACTGAATGAGGGACATCTTTTCCCTTCCAATTCCAATGTTGATTTTGTTCTTTCCATATTTGGAGCTTAGTCCCTCTTCCTGAGCATCACCCAAGGGCCCCTTTCCCTTTTGTTGTCCAGTAACTGTCTGTGGAGTGAGAAACATGGTTAATGGTTCGGGAAAATGACCTTCCATCAGATGTTGATCAACCTGGAAATGTTAATACTGTTTCGGTCTCCACAGATCCCTGCAATGTGCCATCAGCCCCTTTCTGAGCTGCTGCTACTAGAAATACCATCCTCTTTTGCATTCCAAGTATATGTTGCATTGCATTTCATTTTAACAAGGGTTGCATATATGTATTGTCCCAAGTCCCTTGTGGAATTTAATTGTTTCATTTCCCTGTCCATTGCACCTCACATCAACCCTTCCTGAAAGAGTGCAGTCCCTGTGGGAGTGACTGGGATTAAGGTAATAAAGCAGAGATTGAGCCCTCACCACCCGCTCCCCCCCCCCCCCCACCCCGCATCTGAAAACTAAAACCAAAACACCCAAAAAGCAGCACCTCACCCTATAATCTGTAAAAGTAGCGTGAAAAGTGGTGTAAACTGCCTTTCATCAATTTCTAGTGGTGAAATAAAACAAATCCCTGACACTCACTTTACAATCAACAAGGAACAATTTATTTATCTAACTTTAACAGTAAAACAAATTAACTAAACTATTAATAAACCAAATAAATCCCTTCCAACTACTATTCGCGAATATAACAAGATTCCAATTGTATGCTGTTCCAATAAATACAAGTCCCACTTATATAAAATAAAAAATTAGTCTCTCGAAATTACAGCCAGATTATATGTCTTCAAGAATACTCTGTTCCTTCTCTGTCGAATGTTCTGTCAGGAATGCTTTCTCTGTGAATTCTTTAGTCAGGAATCTTAGCTAGGAGTGCCATGGTACCGTTGTGAATAGATGTTCCTTTCTCTAAGAGCTGAGAGCTGTTATCTCTAGCAGATGGTAGTTCGCTCTCCTGTCGTTGCCCAACTGCCACTTCTTTTATACCCTTGATGACAAGTCAATTTCTTACAATAGGATTGGTCCGATATTGTCAAAACCATCAGATTTAAATTTAATTGGTTTTTGGTATCTAAGTGCCTGATTCAAATTAATTGGATAAATTCAAAACTTCTTGTCTTGATAACAAAACAAAGCTGCTGCTTGGGCCTGCTGACTGTACAGCCTTTTGATACAAATATTTCAATTAAGGTGCTCTGTGCACCTGCAAACCCACAAGCTCCTGCGACAGACATCCTTTCTGAATCTATAAGCATAGAAAAAGCACATCATCTTTTAAAGGGACCACCCACTGCTTCCCCCCACCCAGCATTTTACAAACACCAATATTTACAAAAACCAAATTCTAACTTCCTGCCTCTCAATCCACGAGTACACTAACCAATTTCACAACATTAAGATTGTGATAAATTTGTGATTAATTTTGTAACTTGGATTATATAGGTTTCCTCTATTTGTATTTTGACGGTGAAATAATCCTGCTTTAATCAGGAGACATTGGTGTTGTTTTAATCATGAGTTCCTTTTGCTGTTGTTCATAGAGACTCTGTTAATATAGAATCTGATTTCAACTGATTGGCTGGCGCTCTGCTGAAAGATATATGTCACGGGGTGACGTTGACGCATTGAGACCCACCCCTCCTTCCCCTCTGTTGCAGCCAGTGCACCTTTCATGGTGATCTGTGTCCCGTTCCTGTAATGTGACAGTCAGCTGTTATTCAGGCCATGTAATGATGCACAAGTAACCTCTGATTTTAACCACTGTACTGTTCAGATGTTGAACCCACCCGGTTGGGAGGAAGGAATGGACCGGGAGACTGTGGAGTCTATCCTTAGGAACATGAGCCTGGTGAGTTCTTACCTGGTCCTGCCCTTTAGGCTTTTCAACAAGATTTGGAAGCCAGCCATTTCTACCTTGTCAACTGCAATTTCTTATATTTTTGATTATGGACTGAAACGGGGAAAGGTCTGTTTTAAAACTGAGGAGTGAGGAAGGAATTGCTGCACTGTTTAAAAACAAGGGACTGGTTGTGAGTTGTATTTACACTGCTGCTTCACAAGCAGTGAGGGGCAGGGAGAAAAGACAGCACAGCACTGGGGAATGTGGAGAGTGATTTAGCTGGTAACAAGTAACTGATTGGTTTGTGTAACCAACTGTGGATACTGACATCATCAACCTGATGGCAGCTCTCTGATTGGCTCCTAGGCAGGGTGAACAGTTTGGGGGTTTACAGTGGAGGGCAAGAACCCTCTGAACTGCTTTAAGAGAAGGCTCTGTGTTTCTGTCTCTCTCTGCAGGCAAAGTGCCTGAAGCCAGAAGAGAGAGAGTTATTTTCTTGCACTACTTGCTGTAAGCGTTGCCTTGAAACAATAACTTTGAAATTGAACAACCCGTGTCAATCTGCTGTGTCTTCAACAAAGAACCAAGAATCAGGAAGGAAGGACTTGGGAGAACAGAAGGTCTTGGGAAGCAAAAGGAACATCTCAGTGAACCCTATGGACTGGTGCTAATGAACTGTGTTTACCCGTGTCTTCCCAGCACCCATAAACCCAGCGTGTTTTATTTGCTTTTGTCTGTCTATAAGTGTGCGCAGGAGTTTGAAAATGGAGTTTAGGGTTTGAAGCGGTAGAGTCACAGTTCTTAGCTGTGTCCTTGTGAATCACATTTACTCATTTGTCGTGAATAGTCCTTGTTACGTGGAGGAACCTTGAGTGTTTTCTGTTAATTTGACTTGAACAGACTGGTAAACCCGGGTTTAAATCATTGACATTTTGTGGTAAGCCTGGGAATGTTGGAGCTTGAGAATCATTTTCCCAACAGTCACTTCCCCAAACGTGTCATAATAGCAGAAATTGCCAAAGGGTTAGTATGCAGTGCAGCAATTAATTGTTGAATAGCCAAAGTTCTCTTTATTGTGAGGGGGATTGAATACAAGAGCAGAGAGGTTATGTTTCATTTACACAGGGTGCTCCTGAGACTACATCTGGTGTACTGTATACAGTATTGGTCACCTTATTTATGGAAGGATATAAATGAGTTTGAGGCAGTTCAGAGAAGGTTTACCAGGCTGATACCTGGAGTGGGGTGGGTTGCCTTCCTGAGGAAAGGTTAGACAGGCTCAGCTTGTATGCGTTGGAGATGAGAAGTGTACAAGTGATTTGATTGAACTATACATTCTTTGGAAAAGTCTTGTCAGGGTGAATGTGTCAGAGAGTTATACAGCACAGAAATAGACCCTGCAGTCAACTCATCCATGCTAACCAGATATCCTAAACTGACCTAGTCCCACCTGCCAGCATTTGGCCCATATCCCTCTAAACCCTTCCTATTCATGTACCCATCCAGATGCCTTTTAAATGTTGTAATTGTACCAGCCTCCACCACTTCCTCTGGCAGCCCATTCCATACACACACCATCCTCTGTGTGAAAGAGTTGCCCTTAGGGTCCCTTTTAAATCTTTTCCCTCTCACCTTAAACCTATGTTCTTTAGTTTTGGACTTTCCCCTACCCTGGGTAAAATACCTTGGCTATTCACCCTATCCATGCCCCTCATGATTTTGTAAGAACACCTGTCAGCCTCCAGCACTCCAGGGAACACAGCCCCAAGCGACTCCGCTTCTCCCTATAGCTCCAACTCTCCAGTCTCCCTCACCCATTTAAGATAAAGGATAATAATTGTTTTCTCACCAACTGTTAAAAGTCTTTGGAATTCTCTTCCTGGAAACCTGCTGGAAACAGATTCTTTGACTGTTTTAAGGCAGAGGTGGATAGATTCATGATAGGTAAGGAAAAGGGTGGTGAACGGATTTTGGGAATAGGCAGCAATGTGGAATAATCAGATCAGCCAAGGTCAGCTTGTACTGTGGACCAGGGTTGAAGAGTTGTATGAGCTGTTCCTGCTCCTAATTTGTCCGGTGGAATACAATTATGATTGATGTTGTACTCTCTCTTTTGCAGTGAGTTTGCTGAATATTGAATTTCCCAGTGCTTTCCCAGTGCGAGGAAAGCTCAAATCTCTAGGACTGAAGTTAAACATCAAAACTGCTTGCCCTTGACCATAAAGCTATTCCCCCCAGTTAGCGACCCCAGTACAAAGGGGTACATTTCTCCCAAACTACCCTGTTTATGACTCTCATTATGTTGTACAACCCCTACCCTTCTCTGCTCTAAGGAAATCAATGCCAGTCTATCGAATCTCTCTATAAAGCTGCAGCCTACTGAATCTCCATTGCACACTCTCTCGTGCAATCACGTCCTTCCTTTGGTGTGGTGACCAGAACAGTGCACAGCACACTGAACTAACGTCAGATACAGCTCCATCATAATCTCCCTGCTGTTATGTTCATTGTCTTGTCTCATAACGCCAGGTACCCCTTAAGCCTTCTTAACCACCTTAACTAGCTGTCCCAAGAGTCTGAGGATAAGGCATGATGAGTAAGTTTACAGATGATACAAAATTAGGAGGTATGGTTGATAGCGAAGAAGGTTATCAAAAATTACAGAGGGATCTTGATCAGATGGGGAAGTGGGCTGAGGATTGGAAAATGCAATTCAATATAGATGTGTGTCAGGTGTTGCACTTTGGAAAGTCAAACCAAGGTAGGACTTATACAGTAAACGGGAAGGTCCTGAGGAACGTTGTGGTACAGAGGGACCTAGGAGTACAAGTACATAGTTTGTTGAAAGCAGCGTCGCAGGTGGACAGGATGGTGAAGAAGGCATTTAGCACGCTGGCCTTCATCGGTCGAGGCATTGAGTATAGGAGTTGGGATGTTATGTTACAGTTGTATAAGTCGTTGGTGAGGCCGCACTTGGAGTATTGTGGACAGTTTTGGTCACCCTGTTCTAGGAAAGCTATAGTTAAACTGGAAAGTGGGCAAGATGATTTACGAGGATGTTGCCAGGACTAGGAGGCCTGAGTTATAGGGAGAGATTGGCCAGGATAGAACTTCATTTGTTGGAACATAGGAGAATGAGGGGTGACCTTATTGAGGTGTATAAAATCATGAAGGGCATAGATAGGATGAAAGCATATAGTCTTTTTCCCAGGGATTGGGAATTGAAAACTAGAGGGGCATATGTTTAAGTAAGACCTGGGGGGCAACTTCTTCACATAGAGAGTGGTGTGAATGTGGAATGGGCTGCCAGAGAAAGTGGTTGAGGCAGATACAATAGCAATATTTAGAAAACATTTGGATAGGTACGTGGATGGGAAGGGTTTAAAGGGATATGGACCAAATGTGGGCAGTTGTAACTAGCTGAGAGGGCACCATGGTCAGCATGGACCAGTTTAGGCCAAAGGGCCTGTTTCCATGCTGTCTGACTCTATGACATGTACTCCAAGATCCTTCTGATCCTCATTACTTTCTCGGGTCCTTTAATAGGACGATGACAACTTTAACTTGCCTACCAAACTATAGGGCTACTCTCTGGTTGGAGAGAGATCACTGGTGGTGGTTTAACTTGAGCATGACCACCCCTCAGGCGAGGGGAGAGTTTGAGAAGGAGAGTCGTGGGGGTTGGTTAACGTGGTTGGCTGAATGGCTGGTTAGCTATACAGAGTGACACCAACAGCGCAGGGTCCTTCAGTGTTTTTACGTTGGAATTAGATTTTTGTGAGGCAAGGGAATCAAAGTTTACCGGGTAAGATGGGAATTTGGAATTCAGATCACAAACAGACCAATCATGAGCTTGTTGAATGATGGAGCAAACAAGAAGGACAAAATGAGCATCTTCCATTTGTGTTTGTATAAATGTAACAGAACTTTTCTTTCTGAATAGTGGGACAGAAGAGAAGTAATTGCCCTTTTAGGTAATTACATCAACACGTTTACACTAACAGTGGATTGATGGAGTACTGGAACTTGGTTACCAGCATATTTCTCCTGTCAATGTTGTAACTGGGGTCTAGGAATGGGATCTTGGACATGGATAACATGACATTGGACGTGGAGTAATAGCAATTGGTGAAGGATCAGTTTAAATGAATTTAAGAAGTAATACAAAAGCAATTAGGCATTTTGTTGATTCAATCAGCACATTAATACTCATGATGTGACGGGTGGAAAAGTGGGTCTTGATTTAAAGCGCATTCCTCCCATTACAGTCATTAAAGTGGAACCAGGGAGATCTGTCAAAGAGGGAACAGGCTTCTGGATCTGGGTGTTCTTTCCCTGCTGCCTGTCAATCCTGAGTTCCCCAGTTCATGTGTGTGAAGCCTTTGAATAGAGTTCACCTTACAGCAATGTACACTGTCTAATATTTCCTCATTTCTTCATGTACAGCTTAATGAAGATTTCCTGAAGCTGACCATTGATGAGTATATGGGTGATGTACAAGACAAGACCAGGATCCGAGATTTGCACCTTGAGCTGATGGGCGATGTAATTATGTTGATGCCCACTGTCCAATTTGCCAGATTTCACCGAGGTACAGAATACAGGGAAATCTTTCTCTTTCTCACCCGTCCCTTTCATCGTTTTCAATTTGTAAACTCTTTCTCTCGACTTTTTCCGTTCACGGGATGTGGCTATCACTGTTTGGGCCACCATTTGTTACCTAGTTCCTAATGACCTTTTGAGAAGATGGCGGTGAGTCACCATCTTGAACCATTGCAGTCCATGTGCTGTAGAGAGGGAACTCCAGGTTTAAGACCCAGCGACACTAAAGGAACCGTGATACGTTCCCAGGTCAGGATGGTGAGTAGTTTGGAAGGGAACCTGCAGCTGGTGGTGTTCCCTATGTATCTGCTGGCCCTATCCTTCTGTAGAGGCTGCAGGTTTGAAAGCTGCTGTTGATGGAGACTTGGAGAGTTAATGCAGTGAAACATATACATTGCTGCCCTAATGCATCATTGTGTAGGGAGTGAATGTTAAAGGTGGTGGATGAGCTCCTGATCAAGCAGGCTGCTTTGTCCTGATGGTCTGATCGTGTTAAGTGTTGTGGGAGCAGAACACTCTCACTCTGCCTTTTTACCATAGCCCTTTTATTGACCGTAACTTCTCCCCTATCGAAAAGGATAAGGCAGTATGGGGCACTACCCTTATCCAGCCCACTACTGTATTACTTCCACTGACTCCCAAACCCAGGGTAAACCCATTCTGAGTTGGGAATGCCTCTTTCCAGCTTTCTGGGACCTGTCCCAGCTTCTAAATCCTGACTCCGGTGGGACCTGCATTAGCTGATGAAGACTCGGGACTGAGGATCAGTAACAGTGGTGTTAGAGAGAGGGAGAGGGGAAAACAGCCAGGGTTCCTGCTCCCGAGAGAGAGAGAGCCCTCCTTAGCTTTTTCTGCTCTCAGGAAAACAATCTCAGTTTCTTGAGACTCTGTGTATGATTTAAGAGATTAATCTTTCTGTTTGCTCTTTGCAGATGCTGGCAATGCAGTCTTCTTGTACGAGTTTCAGCACCGACCAAGTGTATATGGAAACAGCCGGCCTGACTTTGTCAAGTCTGACCACAGTGATGAGCTCGGATTTGTGTTTGGTGCTCCGTTTTGGAACAATGATATTAAACTATTAGGTGAGAATATCCCCTGGAGTTTTACTGGGTTTATTTTGCCACGTTTTGAAGTCCTGCTCGTTCAGCCAAGAATGGTCTTCGATCTCACTGACACTAGGGCTGGGGGACTGGTGCTTGGCTTTAATGAGCATCATCTGTGGCTCAGTAATTCCCTGAAAAAACCTCCCAACAGCCCTACGTGTGACTCCAGACCCACAGCAAGGTGGTTGACTTTTAACAACCTTCAGAAATAACCTCACAAGAGTCTCAGTTCAAGGGCCATTAGGGGTAGACAAATGCTGTCCTGGCCAAGCTAACCACATCCCATGAAAGAAAGCTGTGGGTCTACCTACAGCAGGTGGACTGCAGTGGTTCTAGAAGACAGCTCACTACCACCTTCTCAAGGGGCTACTAGGGACGGGCGGTAAATACTGACCCCACCTGCGATGCCCACATCCAAGAAATGAGTTTAAAAAACACGGTTACTGTTTCTTCTTGATAACTTTCTGGATAACTGCCGCATGTTTAATCTCCCAATGGTTACCTCAGTTTGTTGTGACCTCTCCTGCAGGAAATGCCACTGAAGAGGAGCTGGCTCTGAGCAGAACAGTGATGTCTTACTGGGCTAACTTTGCAAGGAAAGGGTAAGTTGTATCTCAGCGAGGCACAGAACAGGCTGGGGCTCTTCTGTCTAGACAAGTAAAGGCTAAGGGGTGACCTAATAGAGACCTTTAATGTTTTAAAGGAGTTGAACAGGGTGGATATAGTGAAGGTTATGTTGCTGGACTAGCAATCCAGTGATGTGGAGGCATGTCCAAAATAAATAAATCAGATATAAATCTGACATTTAAAACTGGTTTCTGTAAAAATGACCATGAATCAATCATCAATTATTTTCTTTGTTACTTTATTTTACAGCAATGTGGTCATGGTTTCAAGAACAACACTTCTTCTTTTGATGCATTTCTAATCATCTTTTATATTTCCAAGGAATCACTTCTCATTCTTCTAAACTCCAGGGGGGAAGAATGATTCGAGGAATGTGGGATGTGAATGATGTGGGTAGATTGGAGCAGCTGGGATTGTTTTCCTTGCTGAGAGAAAGCTGAGAGGAGATCTGATCAAGGTATTCAAAACCCAGACAGAGTAAAGAGAGAGAAACTGTTTCCATTTGGTGAAAGGATCATGAACAAGAGCACCTGGATTTAAAGTAATTAATGAAAGACACAAAAGTGAAATGCAGATAAATTCTGACCCAGCAAGTGGTTAGGGTCTGGAAGGCACTGCCTATGTATGTGGTGAAGGCCGCTTCAATTGACACTTCCAAAAGGGATCGTTATTTGGCAAGGAAGAACGAGCAGGGTTATGGGTGAAGACAGGACATGGTCCTCAGTGAGATGCTCGTTCAGAGAGAAGGTGTAGACGTGATGGGCTTTAATGCCCTGGAATAGTTCAGGGATTCTGAGTGGTTAGGATCTGGAATGCACAGCCTGAGGGGAGAGTGGGAGAAAATTCAGTTGTGGGTTTCAGCGGAGAACTGAGTTAGCAGAGGGAGGGGAAATAAATTGCAGGGGAAAACTAGGGAAAGGGAGAGGAACTAGTCAAGGTGGTCTTGCAGGGAGCTGGCCTGGGTTCAGAGGGGTGGGTTGTAAGATATCTTCCTGTCAGGCATCTTAAAGACTTGGATTGATGGGTTGGGGAGGTGTCTCTGGGCCAGACAGATCCTGTGTCCCATGTCCCTAACGTGTGAAATTGCCTTGATTACAGCGATCCTAACGGGGAAGGGCTGGTATTGTGGCCACGTTATGATCACGACGAAGGATACATGCAGCTGGACCTGAAGCAAGAGGCAGGGAGCAAGCTGAAGGAACACCGCGTGAAATTCCACACCAAGCTGCAGAAGCAAAAAAGCAGAAAGAAGAGTGAGCAGGATGTAAAAGCTGATGGCCAACAGCGATCAGAACTCTAACAATCCGACAATCAGCTGTTACCATAAGCCATAGGAGCAGAAACAGGCCACTCAGCCCTTCGCATTTGCTCCACCATTCAATGAGATCACAGCTGATCTGATAATCCTCAACTCCACTTTCCTGCCCTTTCCCCATGACCTTTGATTACTTTCCTGATTAAAAATATATCTATCTCAGCCTTGATTATACTTAATGAGCCAGTCTCAACAGCTCTCTGTGGGAAAGAATTCCACAGATTCACTTCCCTCCGAGTGAAGAAATTTCTCCTTATCTCTGTCTTAAATGAACAATCCCCTTATTCCGAGATTTTACTCTGTCATCCTAGACTCTCCCACAAGGGAAGGCACCCAGTCTGAAACTCCCCTGTCAAGTCTCTTAAGAATCTTGTACATTTCAATGGGCTCACTTCTTATTATTCTAAATTCCAATGACTAAAGTCCCTCCATACCCAGGATCAGCTGAGTGAACCTTCCCTGGACTGCGTCCAATGCCAGTCTATCCTCCCATAGTGAGGGGCACAAAACTGTTCACAGCTGTGGTCTGACTAGTGCCTTCTATAGTTTTAACCAAAGCCTCCCTATTTTTACATTATAATCCCTTTGAAATAACTGCCAACATAATTTGCCTTCCCAATTACCCACTGAACTTGGTCACTACCTTTTTATGATTCATGCATATTAACTCTCAAATCCCTCTTGCTTTCTGCAGTCTATCCCCATTTAAACAATATTCAACTTCTCTATAGGCTCAGTGGTTAGCACTGCTGCCTCACAGCGCCAGGGACCTGGGTTCAATTCCACCTTCGGGCAACTGACTGTGTGGAGTTTGCACATTCTCCCCATGTCTGCGTGGATGTACTGCAGGTGCTCTGGTTTCCTCACAGCTGAAAGCTGTATGGTTTAGGTGGATTGGCCATGGTAAATTGCCAGTAGTGTCCAGGGGTGTGTAAATTAGGTGGATTAGTCATAGAAAATGCAAAGTTACGGGGAAAGGGTAAGGGGTGAGTCTGGGTGAGATGCTGTTCGGAGGGTTGGTGTGGACTTGTTGGGCCGAATGGCCAGTTTCCACACTGTAGGGACTCTATGATTCTATACTTCCCGCCAGAGTGCGTAACCTCTCATTTCCCCACATTATATTCAATCTGCCAAGATTTGCACACTCACTTAACCTGTCTCAATCCCTCTGCAGGTTCTTGTGTCAACCTTTCCACTCCGCAGATCCACTGTCAAGATCACAGTATCCTAACTCATTCTTAATTCCTTCCTTTTCTGTTTCTCCCTTTGATATTCACTTTTTCGATTATTGTTTTCCCTTCCCCTCACCTGACTCTGTAAAACCAGGGAATGTAGGTATTGTCCCATAACATATGGAGCTGGATCAATGCAGCCCATTGTAGTGGGAGCCATGGCGACCAGGCCCACTTAATCATGGGAGATGGCCCACATCAGTCTCCAGGCAACAAAATGTTCTCCCTTTGGTCACGGCTGAGGGTGGCCACTGGATACGAGATGTCAGTGACCCAACTGGAGCCCATTATCCCAGTGCCCACCGCAATTCACTGTTGACTCACAATGTCACAGGAAACTTTCTCACAGCCCCCAAGAGGCCACTGAACAAACGGGGCCTACCAGGGACTTCTTATCAGGCACCCTGTGGGAAGGGGAATGCTGCTGAAAATCCTACTCTGCCGTTGCCTCTGATTCTGTACCCCACCCCATAACTCCTTCCCAACAGATAACCCCCACCTGGTCTTGGGCTTGTTGATGCCCTCAGGTGACCAATTAAGGACATTGTCCAGCCCCTGCAGGAGAGGGAGGTAGGCCTACGTGGAATTGGATAAAGATTGGAGAACCACCTTTGAGGACCTCTTGAGCCCTCTGAGGTCTAACTCCATCCTTGCAAGGTCACCTTCCAACCACTGCCTTCCCCTCCGACCCACCCCCCATACCCTGTTCCTTGCAAAGTCATTGCCATGCCCCCTTCACTGAGGGGCTCAATCCAGACATACCTGAGCCCCTCAGCTTTGGGGATTGCCTGTAGTCCCAGCAGTGACCACTGCTCCAGGCTGGTGCTGCTGGGACTGTAGAGCTGTCAATCAGCCAGAGACTGTCCAAGGGGGCAATTCTGTGCCACAAAAGGGAGTCTTTGGGATTGAGGGAGCCTCTCCCTCCCCTTCACTCAGCCCCAGGTGACTGCAGCATCCTGTAAAAACAGGCCATAGAGAGAGAGACGAATCATTGTGACACCGTAGAAGGCAACTCAGCCCATTGAGTCCATGCTGGCTCTGACTTGAGTCAAGACGCTGGTTCTAATGGCAGCAATCCCTTCGTGTTTACTGAGCAAAGTGCAGCTCACTCCCTGTGACGTAGCATTTCCCAATCAGTTGGAGCGATGAGTAAATTACTGAACGAGCGATCCAGTGAAAGCTACATTGAAATCACCAGTTTAAGAAATTGAACTCAATTGTGCACAATTCTGGGAAATAAAAGGCGGGTTTTATCAAAAGGAATGCGAGACTTTTTGTTTTAGCTACTCATTCACAGGATGAGGGTATCACTGGCTAGGCCAGCATTTATTGCTCAGAGGGCAGTTAAGAGTCAACCACATTGCGATGGGTCTGGAGTCACATGTAGACCAGATCAGAGAAGGATGGCAAGTTTGCTTCCCTGAATGTTATTAGTGAACGAGATGGGTTTTTCCTGAAAGTCAGCAATGGATTCTTGGCCATCAGTAGACTGTTAATTTTACTGAATTCAAATTTCACCATTTGCCATGGTGGGATTTGAACCCAGGTCCCCAGAACATTACCTGGCTCTCTGTTCAGCAACAGTTCAGCAATAATAACACTAGGACATCATATCCCCTGTTGGATTGTGCATTCTTGTCCTTTAAGGAAGGAACTCTGGTGTTGTGATTCAGAACCTATTAAAAAGTGGCCCGGAATCCTCCCCATCTCGGGACTTGCTTAAATGTAGTTCCCCCAGATTTGTGTCCTAGCAGCTCGGGTTCCAGTGTTAGTGATTCATGTACTTCACTGATCATGAACGCTCAGCACTTTATGTTCAGCCCCTTCTTGTTTAACTTTCTTGTTTCTGTAACCAACCTCAAACAATAACTTTGAGAGATTTGTTCAGCAACATCTTGCGTGTCACCTGGACGTCCAGTCCCATGAAATGGGAGTGTAGAGAGTTGTTTGAAATGAAAGCGAAAAGCACAACTGGAAAGTCACATTTGAGAGCCACATCAGGCTATGCAGCTGAAACCTAATCCAAGGGAGTTTCAGTTGAAAGTGAGAGGCTTTGTTTTGCAATGGCATTGAGAAATTGATTTAATCCTGCACCCTAATGAAAGGAACACATTGTTTGAACAAAAACCCACAGAGTAGAATGTTCTGGGACTGGCTGACATCTCATTGATACTGTCACCATTGCTTTGCGATTGGACAGTTTACTCTGTGCCACATCATGATGACCATCCCCAACATTGTTTAATGCTCAAATTAAATAAGTTTACTTTGTATTTTCAGATTCTACTGCTGCCAGATGAGACACTCTGATTTGGGCAGTTCACTGCCCAGTTCACTTTTGGCATGATTTTAATTAACCAAACAGACAGATTAAACTGGATGGGTGGTGGTTTCTCAAGGGCGCTGTAACAGAAACTAAAAATTTCAAAGTAACCTTATCAAATTTAAATTAAAATAACATTTTCTCCTCCTTTCTCTTTGCTGAGTCTAAGGGTGTGTCTGATTATGCTGAGTCTGAACAGAAGAGGCATTTGTCTTACATAGAAATGTAGTTTATTGCATGACAGCAAAATGTACAATTTTTGTTCCTAGTTCAGCATAATTACTAAGGACTCTCAGGAGCTCCCTTCAGGTCCTCATGCAAAACTGGATTACCTCCACTTAGACAGAGAGAGCTCACCACATAGGGTGGGACTGAATGCATCATTAACTCCTTCAGAGCCATAACTTTATATAAAAGGTTTGTGTCTAAGACATACTAAATACACAAAAAAGGAAAGGTGTGCCTTTCTATATCACCTTTCAGGATAATTGAACAGGCCTTGTGAAACGTGTTTAAATGCAATTCTTTGATGGAAGAAAAATGTAGCAGCCGTTTTGTGCATGGCAAGCTGTGTCAAACACTGTCACAATGATGACAGCCCAGGACACATAGAATAACTGGCCTGGTCCCCTTCCAAATAATGGCCATGGGATCCTCTCGGTCCAACTGAGAGGGCAGAAGCAGCTTCAGTGAATGAGTCATCCGAAAGGCAGCACCTCTGACAGTGCGGCACTCCTTCATTCCTGCATTGGGAGCAACAACCTGGAATTTTGTACTCCAATCCAGATGGGGGATCTGACTCGGCATTTTCTGAGGGGGTAGTGGCTCCCTATAGCAGCTATCCATGTGTATGTGTCTCATGTCAAACCATCACAGTCTGGGATGGACATCCAGGCTAAGCATGTTATTTGACTGCAGGCTGGTGTGTGGGTGCTATGTTGTTCCTGAATCCCAGCGCTCTGGTCCTTGCTGCCTCATTGTTTGATTAATACCACATCGGATCACTGAGTTGCTCCCACAACAGCATTGTGTCTAATGGATTTTAAAGGGTTAAGTCAGGCCACTACAACTTTGCTTGTGTAACCCTGAGTTCAAAAGCTGCAGAGATTGTAACAAGGTCAGCCAAGTGGACCTCCTAACATATGAGTTCCCTGATTGGATCAGATTAGCAGCCCCAATCAGGGACCCCTGGGTGACAGATAAGAACAGGAGTATCAGACATAGAGATAACACGGTGTAGAGCTGGATGAACACAGCAGGCCAAGCAGCATCAGAGGAGCAGGGAAGCTGACATTTCAGGCTTAGACCAGTACTCTGAGGAAGGGTCACTGGACCTGAAACGTTAACTCTGTTTTCTCCTTCACAGATGCTGCCAGACCTGCTGAGCTTTTCCAGCAACTTTGTTTGTTCCTGATTTACAGCATCCGCAGTTCTTTCGGTTTTTAAATAAAGGGAGACTTGGTGACAGCATAACGGCCTCTGAGGAGTTAATTCAAAAGCAAGATGCGATACCTCCCCATTGTTTCATTGTTGAAAATTGTTGATGAGTGTCAACAGGCAAACACATCGCTCTGTGGATAGGATTGTGGAGTGTGGAGAGCTAATCACAAAGTTACCTGATACGTGTCCATTGCAAATCACAAGGATAGGAAACCGGAACATAACTACATCAAGAAATGAATAGAATAGAGCGGTAATAGAATCTCTACAGTGTGGAAACAGGCCCTTCGGCCCAACAAGTCCACACCGACCCTCAGAGCATCCCACCCAGGCCCATCTCCCTATTACCACCTAACCTACAAATCGCTGAACACTACTACCCCACCTCAACCAACCATCCCAGACTGGGCAGGAATAGAGGTCCCTCTGATAATAGGATTGTGGAATATTCCTCGAACTTTGCATTTTTGGAGTGAAATAGAGATCTCATTGTGTTCAGACAAGTGGACTGTGAGAGCGGGAAATGAAATGGTAAATTTAGTCAAAAGACAGTGTTCATTTGTTGAAGGTAGAAAGAGCTTTACTCTGTATCTAACCCCATTTTGTCCCTGTCCTAGGTGGGAGTGTTTGATACAGACAGTACAAGGTGAGCTTTACCCTGTATGTAACACCATGCTATCCCTGTCCTGGGTGGGAGTGTTTGATAGGGACAGTGTAGGGCAAGCTTTACCCTGTATGTAACCTCATGCTGTCCCTGTCCTGGATGGGAATGTTCGATAGGGACAGTGTAGGGCAAGCTTTACCCTGCATCTAACCCTATGTTGTCCCTGTCCTGGGAGTGTTTGATGGGGACAGTATTCAGGGCTTTTTTCTGTGTCTAGCTTCAGATAGAACATAGAACAGTACAGCGCAGTGCAGGCCCTTCGGCCCATGATGTCGTGCTGGCCTATTATCCTACTCTAAGATCAAACTATCCTGCATACCCTACATTTTACTATCATCCATGTGCCTATCCAAGAGTCACTTAAATGTCTCTAAAGTATCTGATTCCACTACCTCTGCCGGCAGCGCATTCCACGCACCCACCACTCTCTGTGTAAAGAACCTACCTCTGACATCTGCCCTATACCTTCCTCCAATCACCTTAAAATTATGCCCCCTAATAATAGTCATTTCTGCCCTTGGAAAAAGTCTCTGGCTGTCCACTCTATCTATGCCTCTCATCATCTTGTAAACCTCTATCAAGTCACCTCTCATCCTTCTTCGCTCCATGAGAAAAGCCTTAGCTCCCTCAACCTTTCCTCATAAGACCTGCCCTCCAGTCCAGGCAGCATCCTGATAAATCTCTTCTGCACCATCTCCAAAGCTTCCACATCTTTCCTGTAATGAGGTGACCAGAACTGAATGTAATATTCCAAGTGTGGTCTAACCAGAGTTTTATAGAGCTGCAGCATAACCTCACAGCTCTTAAACTCAATTCCCCTGCCAATGAAAGCCAACACACCATATACCTTCTTAACAACCCTTTCAACTTGGGTGGCGACTTTGAGGGATCTATGGACGTGGACTCCAAGATCCCTCTGTTCCTCCACACTGCCAAGAATCCTGCCATCAGCCCTGTATTCTGCATTCAAATTCGACCTTCCACAATGAATCACTTCACACTTTTCTGGGTTGAATTCCATCTGCCACTTCTTTGCCCGGCTCTGCATCATGTCAATGTCCCGTTGCAATCTACAACAGCCCTCCACGTTGTCCACAACTCCATCAACCTTCATGTCATCGGCAAACTTACTAACTCACCCTTCCACTTCCTCATTCAAGCCATTTATAAAAATCACAAAGAGTAGAGGTCCCAGAACAGATCCCTGCAGAACACCATTGGTCACTGAGCTCCAGGCTTAATCCATCTACTACCACCATGTAGTGTAAGGGTTAAGTTTTTGTTTGAGAAGTGGGTGGGAAAAACAACGTTGCTGATGTGGGAGTGTGTCTGGTGAAGAAGCCAATATTTGAAATCATTCCGGTCTTGGGTAAGTGATCATATTGCATCATTCAGTAAATACCGAGCCGCCCTGCTCAGACTGTTCATAGTGAAGGTAGTCTCGAGCTCCCAGAGTCCACACTGGACAGTGAGTGACATTTCCATATTGCAGTGTGCTGTCCCACCTGAACGGAAAGATGGCCTGCCATTGGCTCCTAGTCCTGCTCACTGTAAACTTTGCTACTTTGTGGAAGAAGTCCTCAGCCACAGTTGAGTGTTCTGAAGGTGAGAGCGAGAACCCATTGAAAGAATTTCCATCTCTGTCGCACTTTCCATGACCTGTCGCATCCCACACTGTCTACGCTCGGCTTTCCGTCCAGGAGCTTGATGGTAATTACAACCTGATAGGTAGCTGTCTAAAGGCTTGTTGTCTGCTTGATGTGGGTGAGAGGATTCAGAACCTCTGACAATATCTGCCAGTTTGGGCCGTGGCTTCAGTGAGTAAGCAGGAG